AAAAAGATCACACAGTGAAAGAAAGCAAGGGAGAAACCAAAGAAGCCAGACTTTTTAACAACCCACTCTTGTGGGAACTTACCTATTCCTGCAAGAGCAATAACTCACTTTCCCCCTCAGGAGGGCATTAATCATTAATTAATGAGGGATCCGTCCCCATAACCCAAATACCTCCCACTAGGCCCCACCTCCTAACATTGCCACACTGGGGATCAAATGAGTTTTGGTGGGGACAAACCACATCCAAACCACAGCAGTGATCAAATCCACTGGTGGTACAACTGTTGTCCTTTCTCGGGAGAGAGAGGTCAGTTGATATTCTCCAGGACTTTAACAGAAAAGAGAAATAAAACCCTTTCTTACCAATCCAGTCACTTCCTAGCCCTTCTAGCAATTATTTCTAAAATCTAATATTGAATCATTCTTAAAATTATTTTGTTTAATGTTCCTTAAGTTTCCTAGTACAGTACCTGTTTAATTATAAGATTGTAGGAGAGGTTCTTAGCTTGACTTCAAGAAATCAATAAGTCCCTTGAAACTATATAAGGAATATTGTGTGTATGTGGGATCCGAACCCTCGGGCGGGAGCGCCGCCACGCTTCCCAAGCGGCGCGCTATCCATTGTGCCACCGGGCCGGCCCATAAAACTTTTATTTGTTTTATATGTTTGTGTGTTGTAAGCTGGGTCATGATATAAAAAAATTATATATGATATAAAAGAAATTTACCATGAGTGATAGCCAACAAAGGTTGAAACACTGCTCTAACACCTTTTCTCTTTTGTTTTGCTTTAAACTTTCTTGATATGCCACTTCTGTGGCAGCTTGGTATCAAAAAAGTTATCATAAAAATAATAATGATGATATGATGAGCAATATTTACTGAATATTCACTGTGTGCCAGAAACTGTGCTGTTTTACTTTTATGATCTCATTTAATCTGCACAACCCAATGAGTATCATTAATCTCCACTTTACAGAAGAGAAAATTTAGGTTTAGAGAAGTACAAGAACTCTAGACCTAGGTCTGTCTGGCTCAAAGCACATGCTTGCCACATAAACTGCAGGCAACAGTCTCCGAGATAATCTAAAAAGTAGACGATCTGCTTGGTGATAAACATGAATTGAATATCATAATTTTAGAAAGGTTTGGAGCTTTGGTCCTGTGATGCTCATTGTTCTTTACACTCCCTTATTGTTTTAGTCTAAATTGGTACAGAATACTCTGAAAAACTAGTTTTTTCCTAGAGATATATTTTATTTTTTAAATTTAAAAGTTTATATGCAGACATGAAACGTGATGTATTTTATCAATCCCCAAACTTAAAGATTCCTTTAAAGGCCCAATTAGTATAAAATTATAAGCAGCAGAGAACAATGTAAATGCATGCTGACATATTATTATTGTTTTGTAACTCCTTATACTTTTACAGGGGCATGACATCTTTCATGGAGATGAGCTTCTCCACCCAGCTCATAAAGAGAAAATTTTTGCATAATCAAAGTTACCTTTGCAAATCCCTTAAGTCACCCTAAGTAGACGAACATGGTTTTGTGTATTCCATACCACCTCTCAGTAAGTTCAACACAATTCATTTTTACTTCATCATTGGAATAGATAATGTTTCCGCAGATATGCATGAATGAAGCACAGTTGAAATTCTCAACTGTCACACACTTACGCCAGTTAGATTGAATGACTGTAAAGTGTGGTTTTGTAGAGGGGGACAAACTTACCTGAAAAGCTAATCTCTGCTAAATGCTAGAAAAAGATACTGGTTAAAATATCTACATAAGAAAGAGGCACTGGATGACTACAATGCCTAAAAGAATCAGAGATTTTGGAAAATAAAAAGAAAGGTCTTAAGGGTATCTTCCCAAACAACACAGGAAGTCAAATAAAGAATGAAGATATAGTTTAAAAACATTTAACAGTGGATCCAGAGCAGGATCTGTAACATTAAATGAGTCTCACAGAAATGGTTCTGTTTATTCAGTAAACCAACACAAGGAGAGAATGGAATGTTCTCATTAATACAGTTTCTGATAACCTGAGTGTTAATCCCATTTACAGGTATAGAGAACTAAGTTGCCAACCCCATTGTGAGGGAGAGCTAGAGTTATTTTACTTCTGATCTAAATGTACTCTAATTTTTTTTTTCTGGGATTTAAATGCAGTGCAACAGATAAGAATTTCAATCTGTTTTAATTTTCATTAAAGTCAATAAACTGGCATACCAATTTATACATGAATCATTTCACCAGGACCTAATCATTCCTAAGTAAAATGAAATATACCCTGTTTTTGAACTTCTAAAGTTAAGGATTAGGTTCTAAGACAAAGGCAGATGCTAAAGCTATCTTAAGGCATATCATAAAAATATGTTTACTATAGATTAAAAGCATTTATTTAAAGGAACACATACACCCAAGAATTGATGACTACAAACTAGCCACAGCAGTAGCTTTAATCACAGTCAACAGGCTTAGAGGCTGAGACTATCATATTGAATACACATTTATGAAAAATGTTTTCTGTGGCTGAATCAATCAGTATAATAATAGTGATAGGACTTAAAAGAAATTAACCTATACTATAATCTGGGGTCAAGAAATTAAAAAAAAAACAAACTGAGACGAAAGGGATATAGGCTGTATTCACGATGACATGTTAAATTCACTAACCAGCCAGTCAAGAAATTAAAAAAAAAACAAACTGAGACGAAAGGGATATAGGCTGTATTCACGATGACAACATGTTAAATTCACTAACCAGGCAGGGGGATAGACTTGAAAATTGTGTCAGCTCATTCTAAACATTGGTTGGTAATGTAAATTGGCTCTCAGAAGTTAAAAAATGATTTGGTTGTCAAATGGCTGATAAGACAATGTGGGCTTTGCACAGTTAGTGGTCCTTTATGAGTCATGACTTACCTGTCTGAACTGGCATTGATATAGGAATCTAGCTCCTGACACATGAGCTTGTGGGTTAGACTGGAGTCCTATATTCGCCCACAATACCTGGATCTCCAGGGAAACTGGTATGAAACAGCAGGAAGTACAGTTCATAGCCTGCAGAAGGGGAAAGAAGCATCTGCATGAATTGCCTGATGGTTGCTTATAGTTAGTTACCACGCATTAGGTAGCCATTGTTTTTTAAGCATTGTACAATAATAGAGAAGGCAGTGTAGCTTAGAAGAGGAACATAAAAGTTCACAATAGACCATATTATTGTTCTCGACCTTAAAAAATTTTATATTTGAAAATGGAAATTATGAATAGAGAAATTAATAAAACATGAGCACATGTACAATGGTTATAAGAAGTGCTCAGTGAGTGGTGCATAGTCAGTGCTGTGAAATGGCAGAAGAAACAGCCATTTCTGGTTGGGGATGGCTTTGTGGAACTGGGATGAGTAACATGTGACTAGGAGAAATGGTGGTTAAAGGCAAATCAGGTAGAAAGATGGTATATAAAAAGGTGTGCAACTATACTGTGCCAGCGCCTCGGGGCCTACCCGGGGACCCAAGGCATGGAGCCAGGGAGCGGACCCCCCTCCCACAACCAGGCACACCATAACAGTGCCTTGGGGCCTGCCTGGGGACCGGAGGCATGGAGAAGGGGACCAGACACACCCCACAGCCAGGCACACTGCTAGCACCAAGGAGCATGCCAAAAACATCACCTCCATGGGGGTGGCCCACCACAGCCACCACAATAACCATGGCTGCTGTGAAAGCAGCTAGACACCACAACCATCACACAGATGGTCTGCCAGCCACTGGAGTGCATTGACACAAGGAGAGTCACTAGCAGAGATAAAGAAAAGAAGAGGATGTTTCTCTCCACAAAGCCCATCTTAGAGTGACAGAAGAAGCATGTGCTCTATGATAATATTGGGAGACCTCTCAGCATTGGACAGATCATCTAGGCAACAAATTAACAGAGTAACCATTATTCTTTCAGAAGGAGAGAAGAAATTTAGAGCAATTAGAGGGGGGAGGGGGGAGGGAATGGGGGATGGGGAGAGACTGGACAAGGGGCATAAAGAATAATTATGATTTGTAACAATATATATGGTAGTAATATTGATTTGATCAACATATCTCAATGTTGAACCCCAAAAATATGTATTATCAATTTTGATTCAATAAATAAAATAAATTAAAATTAAAAATAAAAATAAAAAGGTGTGCAACTAGAACAGCACATGATGCCATGGATGGACATTCACTGATTAATTTAAATAACAGTTAGTGAGCATCTCCTATGTGCCAGGCATGTGCGAGGCACTGGCCCTGGGCAGACCACTTGGCTGAAGCAAAGGATTTGAAAACAGGAGCAGTGAAAGGTTAAAGATGACACTTTAGGGTTAGATTATGAAGTCCATCTAAGGAATTTGTTTGAAGGCATCAAAGAGCCATGAAAATTTCTGGAATAGAAACATGGTATACTTAAAGTACTACTCTAGGAGGATTAACTGTGACATGCAAGAAGGATATACCATTCTATGTGGTTTCAATTTTTAACCTGTTACTGTATTTTTATGTAAATGTAAAAATATAAATTTTTGTAACAAGAGTACAATATCAGCCTCATGAAAGAATCTGTGCCAACCAAATATTCAAGAATATAAGAGAATATTTGAAATATATGGTGTGATTTTGAACCACAGACAATCTCTAGATTTTCTACCTCCAAATTTTTTTCTAAGTAAGTAGAATAAGTTAGGTGTAAACCTCATGTGAGATAATGACTTAAAATGGGCATAACTTCTTATAATCTTCCTTCTATGACAAACGTATCTATGGAAACAGAGCTGGTTTTAACCTTACTATCCATATTGAAAATGAGCCTCCATCATAAGGAGTATTTCCTTCCTTACTGAAACACTGCAGCTCCTGCTGAGGATCCTGGTCCACCCTCCTTTTTGGGCGGGGTCAGCATTACCAAAGATGGCAACATGCTCTGGTCTGGGCCTTCCATGAAGAGTCTGATAAATCTCCTGCTGCAAGTGGCTACAGTCTGCCTTCTTCAGCCTATGATTAAACACATGGAGGCTGAAATCCAATGCTAACGTAATAATGTAACTATATTAGTATATTAATCCAAACATAAGAAATAATATTATAAAATAGATTGGAGGAAATAATCCTTAGTAGGTCTTAAGGACTGTCAGAACACTCTTAGCAATATTAATTTTTTAGATTAAAAGACTATTCCTAACTAGGAATCTCTGAACTGTATTTAAAATATAAATATTACCATATCAACATATTCCCTACAAGAAAAGACAAAATTGTGGGAAATGATGTGGAAGGAAAGGATTACCTAAGCTTGCATCCAGATATTGCATTCACTCCAAATTGTACCTCATGTCTCTTAACAGAGCAAATTCCATTACCCTGGCTCTTCATGAGGGTCATCTAAGGTGGAAAAGTTAAGGAGATCATAACAGAAAAAAAAAGTAGGCAGGATTGGAAAATGTATACTTCCATCGTTCCCTTAACACTATTTATATTTTATTAATATCATGATATTATTCACATCACAAATTTGTATTTTTTCTCTACTAATTAAAAAACACACGGGGCAGGGAGGGAGGAGAGGGTGAAGGGAGGTTTCAGTAATGGGCCATAATAATCAACCACATTGTATATCGACAAAATAAAAACTAAAAAAAAAAAAAAAACCACACAGAGATAGTTACTGTTTTTCCAAAAAAACCCACCAGTATAAAAGTATCTCATTAAAACAAACAAATATCAGGCCAATCCTCACCTTTCGCCAGTCTAACATAAGTTTTAAAGCCTTTGATGGCATCAACATTTGAGAACATAATGTATTAACAGTTTGATAAATTGCTGAATACCTAAAAAATGGGGGAACCTTGAGAACTGAAAAATTCGAAAGATCAGCTGTTGTAGTTTTTCTCATTAGGCTGCAACAGGCCACCCAGGTCCAAAAAGGATACCACATGACGTATATCACCAGTTAGAGCCAAAAGTGGCTTCCCAACAATATAGCCAGGATTCCCACTTTTAGGACCAGTAAAAGAAGCAGCCATGCTTTGTTGAAAAGCCTGCAGAAAGAGTAAAGAAAAGTCAATTATGGAGAAAAGCATGCTTTCCCACCTTCTACTTGGCTTCCTACCCTTCCTTAGGGCAGTGCAATAAGTGAGCTACACCGAACAATGTGGCTTCCTTCCACAGCACACAATTTTGCAAAGATTTTTACTCCAGTGTTTCTTTTACTTTTTTTAATTCACTAAAATAAATCCTGAGTGATCTGCATATTGAAATTCACTATATACTACTTTTACAAAGGTCTACAACTAAGGTTCTACCAGGGATCCTGTAACCCTATTTCTCAAAAATTGCTATCAATTTGGGGCTATGTTCAGCCTGGTTGAAACTGGAGGAATTTAAATGTAATTTTAAAAATATATTTTAATTAACTATAAATGTTTCAGCAATGAACTCTGAGAGACACAGGATTTGGATGATCACCTGAAAGTAGAACTGAGAACTACTGGGTTCAAAAAGAGGAAAGAAGTAGAAGAAAGCCAAAACATGGTGATCAAAACTGGAATCTTTGATTAAGTGGTAAATGAATAAAATGCTGAATGTCCAGAAATATGAGAAAAGCTAGTTAAAGAATTTCTGTGGGATGTTGCCTGAGTTTATGATTCAAAATGACTATTTAAAAAAAGAGTTTTGATTTGAGCTTAAAAGTCCTGTTTGCTAGGGGCCAGAAAGAGAATCAGAGCAAATGTTAATGAATAAACAATTGTTGAATACCTAACACTTGTAGTTAAATTATGGAATATTAAATGTTGAGGCTTCAATTGACACACTGAACTAGGTCTTCATAATCTTATTCATAATGGAATATTAAATGTTGAGGCTTCAATTGACACACTGAACTAGGTCTTCATAATCTTATTCTATTTCACATGTATTACGGAAGCAGAGAAACTCTTTTTAACCCAATACTTCTTCCCCTCTTGATCCCCTATAGCAAAAGGGGCCTAACCCTGAAGCGAATGATGAAGTGTTGCTGTAAGGAAGCGCCTGGCTCAATAGTCAGGTTGGTGTGTCCAAAACTAACAGAGACTTTCTGGATTCCAAAAGTCCCATTGGTCTCTATATCATAGATGACCTGAAATGCAAAGAAGAACCAATTAATAAAAAATAGTTATTGGGCCGATAATGTTTAGTATATAGGATTTTCTATCTTTATGGGTTTAATTATAATGAATGAGGGAGACTGAAAAAGTAATCTTAAAAATGCGAAACACAAATACCATGAAAAGAAAAAGATAATTTCATATTACATTTGCACATAAAAAAGAGACTGGGTAGAGCTCTTTGAAAAGGTTTATGGATGAGGTGAGTTTATGGAAAGAAATGAAAGGGAAGAAAAACAAGTTTTGAGTGTGCGCAGAGGAGGGTGAGTAAAAAAAGAGGCATAGTTGAGCATGGACCAGGAACTGGGCTCACTTGGCTCTCACAATGTCTGAGGATGAATAAAGATAGTTGCTGGGGATGCAAGTCACATGCAATTGAAGGTAACCTTAAATTTCTGAGCACAGTCTTTAAAATGATGCTTAAGATAATTCTGACTTTTTTAGGTTAGATTGATTAGAAGACAGAGGAACAGAAGTTGACTGATCTACTTCAGACTTTCAGACAATACTGTGTCAACAGAAGAAAATGTGATCAATCAGAAAGAACCAGTAATAGACTGCATGTAGGCAAAGGAAGGGGAGTCAGAAATAATTTTAATGTTCTGAACCTGAAATACTGAAGGATGGTGGCAATGGAAATGGCAGAAAAAAAATTTTTTTTTTTTTTTAAAGATGACTGGTAAGGGGATCTTAACCCTTGACTTGATGTTGTCATCACCACACTCCCCCAAGTGAGCTAACCGGCCATCCGTATATAGGGATCCAAACCCGTGGCCTTGGTGTTATCAGCACCACACTCTCTCCCAAGTGAGCCACAGGCCGGCCCTATGGCAGAAACATTTTCAGGGAGGAAGGTGATAGGCTCAATTCTTGACATGATAAACTTCATGTAATGTACAAAAATTCAGGTGGGGTCAGTCTGGTACTTAATGGAAGATGAAGCAACTCTGGTGATGCTGATCACCATACCACAGTCCAGAATCTGAAGTCAGCATCCCTACCTGGGAAACAGCATTCTGACAAGTGTTTCCAGCCAACAGAGGAGGATCAGCTGGTGAGACAAGTGTTACAGGAACCTGGAACTGGCAAGGGAAAGAAGTAAATCAACTAAAATTAAAAGCTGTCTCTTCTAGCTACATATCATGCTAAAATGAATATTTTTCCTTCCCCTTGACCATCTTCTTTCTTTCCCCTTCCTTTGCCAGCCTACAACTTAAATTCAAAAGTCATTCTAAATCAGCACTTTTCAAAACTTATTTCTCAGAACACTAATTCTCTTAGATATAAAATAAGGGTTACATGGTCAAATAACTTTTAGAAATACTGTTTTCAACACTCCCCTCTTAGAGATTAACAAGGCCTTCTAGCAAACTAAAGACTCCAAGAAGCCCACCCTAAATATAGTGTTTAATTTTATTTATCCCAATGTTTTCCAAACTTACCTAACACTTCATGAATGCTTATTTCATATTAGGCTATTAATCATATAGAACACACTTGCAAAAGTGCTGATTTAGATCCATACTTGACTGATAGATCATGCTTACATTTTCTTTCACCATTACTGTCTAGACTGAAATTGCCTCAGATGCAAAGGAGCTAAATATTCTTTTTTCTTCTTCCTGAAAAACGGCATCATACCTTCATATTCTGCAGATCAGTCATACCTCTTGGAATCTAGAATAACAGTGGGGACATTAGTGTGCATGCATACACACACACACACACACACACACACACACATACACATACATACATACATACACACATACACGCACACCTTACATAAAATCACCAGGAGCTTGTGGTTTCATATTACTACCAATAGGCTTTGGTTTTGAAGGAAAAATCAATATACCACTTCCTCTCTTCCACCTGACTCTTCCTTCACTAAAATAACCGGGAGTGTAGCTAGACGGGAGGTTGGATAGACTGTGATGCCTACCTACACTGACACAGCTCTACTAAACAGCAAAAGCAAGAAGTTTTAGTGAAATAGTGAGATATCACTCCCTTCCATCCTCCCCAAAATAGTGAGATGTCACTCCCTCCCACCCTCCCAAGCCAATCCCATTAGCCAGGAAGGTCATAATCTCTCATCCTGGATATCCTCTTGGGGACTGGTTTCCAATTCAGTGTTCTTTCCGCTACCCACAACTTTGAGAAGCATGTTGACTTCAAATCCACGGTGATGACAGAGTGGAGAGAGAAAGGACACCCACCTTCAAGACTGTGAAGTTATAATAAGAGGCAGCATCAAGGGCTGGATCCAAGATACAGCTATCTGTCAGGTTCTTGAAGAAACGAGTGCAGGTTGTACTCTTACTTTCTAGGAAACCTTAGAACACAAAGAATTAAGAGAGTGGTAAATGAGAAAGCCCCTTTTTTTTGGCGGCTGGCCGGTATGGCAATCTGAATCCTTGACTTTGGTGTTATCAACACCGTGCTCTAACCAAATGAGCTAACTGGCCAGCCCTGTGAAAGCCTATTTTAAATTGAGCAAAAAGACTGTACTTCTGCCCTGGACTCACCTGCAGGATTTCTCTCGGCACACAGTCCCCCAGCTCCAACTCCTGCAGGCTGTCTCAGTAAACTTATTACAGACCACTTGGGGAAGTAAGTCAGAATAGGGTCCCCAGCCTGAATAAAATATAGGAGAAATTTATTCACGGTGAGATTGGGCTGAACAACACCAAAAAAGAAAAAGTAGAAACAAAGTAGGGGAAAAAAAAAACAAAACCCAGCTTATCTATATGGACAGCAGTGCCCTTCAGAAGAGCTGACGATGGTTTACCTGGCTGCAGGGTGGTACCTCAAAGATATCTTGTCAGTTGTCTTCTATGAGGGCAAAAACCAAACCAACAATCCCACCCCATTTCCCAGGCTCACCCTGTAAAAAGGTGGTGGTGACTGGGTTTGGAATGTTGAAGTGAATGATTCGCCTCCAAACTCTGTAGCCAGGGCCTGGAAGTTGGTTGCATTGACCTCTTGGAGCGTCTGGAAATAGTTTAATTTTGCTAAAATGTTTTTTAAAAGAAAAAGGGTTTAGATGAAAGAAAAACATTTATTTTTAAACATCTGGCATGCCAAATAACTAATTTTTAAAAATATTTTTATTGGAGCATAATACACGTATAGTAAAGGGCAAATGCACTAAAGTGTAAACTCAAAGAATTTTTACAAATTTATATATGTGTATTAGCACCACCCAGATCAAGTTATGGAACATTTTTTCCAGAAGAGCCCCAACCAATACTCCATTTCCAAGGATAACAATTTTGATTTCTATCACCTCTTAATTTATTTGTAACCTGTTAATTGAATTATTGTTTTAGTATTAAGATCTGAGATAAGAATATGGTCAAAGCATGCCATAAGGTCCAAGTCTCTGATGGCCAAGAATGTGTATGATTAGCAATTTATGATGAAAATAGGAAGCTCACTAATGTTCATACTTGCCCCATACCAGATGAGTCTCTGATATAACAAAATGGTACTGTTTCTGTAGGAATATGGCAAAGTTGGAGACAATATTGATCTGTCCTCTCCAGATCTTCCTGTTTCCTCTAAATTTCAGCCGACCACGTTCTAATAATAATGTTTCCATCTCTCAAATATACAGATTTCTTATACCTTATTCCTTTCACTTTATAATTCCTACCTTCAAGATTACAGATACCCCAAAAAGGTATTTTGTGTAACAATTCTACTATTTCTATTATAACCATGTATAAGTCTATTCAAGCTCCTGCAGCCATCTCTTTATGGCTCTTCAAAACCAGGAGAGAGAGATAGGAAAAGGGCACTGGTAATGTCCTCCGCCCAGAGGGCAGCAGGTGATAAACAACACTGTCTGCTTTACCACTGCAAGTCTTTTGCTAAATTGGAAAAGGAACATGGCAGAAACATTCCCCATTCTAGTTTCATTCTTCATATAATTATGGTTATTTGGACAGAGTCAAAAAGATTACAAGACCTGCATCATTGAAAGCTAACAAGGATTCCACATTAAATAAGCTTGACTTTTATCCTCTGTGATCACATCTTAATTGTTTGACTTTTCAGTTTTGCAGCATAAAATGAACACAGCTCTCAATTCTGGGGCCTTTTAGACTACTGACTCTCTATACATCTAGATCATTGTTACTAAAATGAGAAGATCAGTAGCCCCAGCATCACCTGGGAGCTTGTCAGAAATGTAGACTTGGGCCACTCCCCAGGTCTGCTGAGTCAAAATCTGTATGTTAACAAATCTCCAGGTGATGTACGTGCATATTAGAGTTTTTTAAAAAGCATTGCTTTGAAACAGGTGATGCTGATGCTGCTGGTTTGTGGGCCACTTTCCACCTCTGATCTGAAATCTTCAAATTCTGAAGATTCTAGGAGGTGTTAAACATTTCCTTCAGAACTTGTACCCTGAAAACCACCATAGAAGAGATATTTACCTCATATCAAATGCAATTATTTCTATTCTTACAAATGAAAGAAAAGCTAAAATTAAGCTAAGAAAGAGATGAACTGAGATGACAAATATCCTTCTGGCATTTTTTCATGGCTTAAATGAATAAGAGAAAGTCAACATTTTGTCTGTCACTTCAGTGCAGGTATATTGGTGTTAGTGGTGGTAAACAATGATTATGCAGATAAGGAATACAGGGTAAGGAGAATAAGTAAAGAGTTTTTGCCTAAAATTTCTACCACCTTACATGATATATTACACCTAATAGAGCTTAAAGGTACTCAGATTGATAAAATTTCAGATGTGCAGGGAAGCCTAGAGAACATCTGACCCAATCCCATTAGGAAATTTGGGAGCCACCAGGTCCACACACCCCGATAAGCCATGCCAGAACAGGCAGGAGCCACAGGACCTCCACAGCAGTTCAGTCTCCGCCGCCTAGAGAGGCCTGAGAGCCGCCAGGCCCATACGCCTCGAGTCAGCCACACTGGAACAGGCAGGTGCTGTGGGACTCCCTGCCCAGGCCACTGCCTGCTGCCCAGAGAGGCCTGAGAGCCACCAGGCCCACACACCCCAAGTCAGCCACGCCAGAACAGGCAGGTGCTATGGGACCTCCAGCCCAGGTCAGTCCCCACCACCTAGAGAGGCCCGAGAGCTGCTGGGCCCACATGCCCTGAGTCAGCCACGCTGGAATAGGCAGACGCCGTGGGACCCCCAGCCCAGGCCAAACCCCACTGCCTGGAGAGGCCCGAGGGCTGCCAGGCTCACAAGCCCTGAGTCAGCCGCACTGGAACAGGCAGACGCCACAGGACGCCCAGCCCAGGCCAGTTCCCACCATCCAGAGAGGCCCGAGAGCTGCCAGGCCCACATGCCCTGAGTCAGCCACACCGGAACAGGCAGGCGCCACGGGACCCCCAGCCCAGGCTAGTCCCCACTGCCCAGAATTGGCAGTCCCTTCAGGATCCAGGCCAGACATCAGGGTGGAATGAGTGGACTGTGATACCCCCTGCCACAATGACTAAACATCAAAGGAAAGATATCAGAAATATGAAAAATCAAGAAAGTACACCACCACCAATGGAAAATAATAACTCTCAAACTCTACATCCTATAGAACAGGAAGTCCTTGAAATGACTAACAAGTAATTTCAAGCAACGATTCTAAGGAAACTAAATGAGATACAAGAAAACTCAGTTAGATAACACAATGAAATGAGAAAAAATATACAGGATCTGAAAGAAGAAATGTACAAAGAAATCAATGCCCTGAAAAAGAATGTAGCAGAGCTTGTGGAGCTGAAGGATTCATTCAAAGAAATAAAAAACACAACAGAGAGTCTAACCAGCAGGCTAGAACAAGCAGAAGAGAGAATTTCTGACCTTGAAGACAGGCTGTTTGAATTAACACAGGTGGACCAGAAAAAAGAATTTTAAAAATTGAAAAAAATCAGAGATAACAGACAACCTTGGGTATTCCCAAGGGGAGGATAACATCCAAATCTGGGTATTCCAGAAGGGGAGGAAAAAGGAAATGGCATTGAAAACATATTCAATGAAATAATAGCAGAAAACTTCGCAGGTATAGGGAAAGTCACAAATCTTCTCATTCAGGAGGCCCAAAGATCCCCAAACACATTCAACCCAAAAAGGTCCTCTCCAAGACGTGTTTTAGTCAAACTGGCAAAACTCAAAGACAAAGAGAGAATCTTCAAAGCTGCAAGAGAGAAGTGGCAAGTCACCTATAAGGGAGCCTCAATCAGAATAACATCAGACTTTTCATCAGAAACCCTAAAAGCCAGAAAAGAATGGGATGATATATTCAAAATACTAAAGGACAAAAATTGTCAGCCAAGAATACTTTACCCAGCAAGGCTGTCCTTCCGAAATGAAAGACAAACAGTATATTTCTCAGACAAAACCTGCAGAAGTTCACTATTACATGACCAGCCTTACAAGAAATTCGCAAGGAAGTACTGGGTTTGACACCTGAAAAACAACCATCACTGCCATGAATACTCAAGAAAGAACAAAACCTACCAGTAAAACAAAAATGCTAACAATAAAGAGAAAAAATAGTTTATCTACTGCCCCAGGAAACTAACAAACACAGAAAACAAACAGAAAATCAGAAAGAAGGGAACAAAAGATACTTAAGACATCTAAACAAAAATCAGTAAAATGCTAGGAGTAAATCAACACCTTTCAATAATAACTCTAAATGTACAAGAATTATTTCCCCACTCAAAAGACACAGATTGACTGACTAGATTAAAAAGATGACCCAACAATATGCTGCCTTCAAGAGACTCATCTCACCTGTAAAGACACACATAGATTAAGAGTGAAAGGATGGAAAATGATATACCATGCAAATAGAAATACAAAACGAGCTGGAGTAGCTATTTTTATATCAGATAAAATAGACTTTAAACCAAAAACCATAAAAAGAGATAAAGGCCACTATATAATGATAAAAGGATCTATCCATCAAAAAGACATAACAATCATAATTATATACACACCCAATGTCGGAGCAGCCAGATTTATAAAGCAAACACTATTAGATCTAAAGAATGAGATAGACACTAACATCATAATAGCAGGGGACCTGAACACCCCACTCTCAACACTGAACAGATAATCTAGGCAAAAAATCAATAGAGAAACACAAGATCTAAACAAAACTTTCAACTGATTGGACTTGGAATATTCTGTAGATATCTGCCATCCAACAACCTCAGAATATCCATTCTTCTCATCAGCACATGGAACATTCTCCAGGATAGACCACATGTTAGGTCACAAAGCAAGTCTTAACAAATTCAAAAAAAATGGTACTATCTCATGTATTTTTTCAGATCACAATGTATTAAAATTAGAAATCAGTAACAAATGAAACTCTGGAAACTATACAAACACATGGAAATTAAACAACATTCTCCTTAATGACATATGGGTCCAAGAAGAAATTAACCAGGAAATCAAAAAATTTCTTTAAACTAATGAAAATAATGACACATCATACCAAAACCTGTGGGATACTGCAAAAGCAGTACTCAGGAAGAAATTTATCGCATTAAATGCTTACTTCAGAAGAATGGAAAGATGGCAAATAAACAACCTAACGCTTCACCTTAAAGAACTAGAAAAACAAGAACAATCCAAACCCAAAGTTAGTAAACAGAAAGAAATAATTAAGATCAGAGCAGAACAAAATGAATTAGAACTGAAAAACAATATAAAAGATCAATGAAACAAAAAGTTGTTTTTTTGAAAAGATAAATAAAATTGACAAACCTTTAGCAAGGCTAACTAAGAAAAAAAGAGAAGGTGTAAATAACAAAAATTAAAATGAAAAAGGTGATATTACAAATGATACCTTAGAAATATAAGAAATCATTAGAGACTACTATAAACAACTATATGCCAACAAATTTCAAAATCTGGAGGAAATGGATAAATTTCTGGACATGTACAAACTACCAAAACTGTGCCAAAAAAATATAGAAAATCTGAACAGACCAATAACAATAAAAGAGATTGAAGCTGTTGTCAGAA